TTTTCATTAGGCTCAGAAATAGAACATTGTACCCGTCTGTACAATATAGAAACGACCACAACAGCCCCAAACCCCAAGACAATAACCCTAAGCAGCCACTACAATGGACTCGATCGAACACATCAATCTACCAGTCGAAACTCCCCCTCAATCACAGAGATTACAACACAAAGAACACTGATTACAACCAGGGGTTTTAATCCTATCACGAAGACAGAAGTAGAGAAGGAAGAAACGAGCAGAATCACAAAGACAGAAGAAAACCCAAAAGCTTTCTCGCACACAGCAGGAAGGGGAAGAATGAGAATCACACCGAAAAATAGTCGGTCAAGCTGGTATATATGGACAGCCTATCAACCGTAGATCTGATCCCCATCCGACGGTCCAGAGCAACACACTTGGGTAAGTCTTGGGCTTGGGTATTGGGCCTGAATCTTTATTGTGTTATTGGGCAATGGCTGAAACTTATTCAGCAATGGGCTGAGCCCTTTTCTTTTCATCATAGCCCCAAAAATAGTTAGAAAACTAATGTCACAAATGGCATCACAATTCTAACAATTGACATAATCTCTGCCAGTATTTTGCATAGGACCCCATAAGTGGGAGTCAACTACATAAACATAGCTGACTATTGACAGTACACTGAATGGAAGGAAATAAACATGGGCTCTTTCAGGATATTTGGTACGGAATTTGCTGATTTCAATATGATGAATGAGAATACCCTCCATTCCTAGAATGCCCTGCATGGAACTGAAATGAAAAACAGGGGGTTCTCCTTCCTCATAGTTATAGATCTTAAACCGTTTTTCCATTTCCATGTAGCTCCTGCAATAACAAATGGATTTACTTTAGGAATTCTTCTCATGTTCTTTTGCATTAAAATGGAATTCATCACCAATTCGTCATCTAATGGCGTCTTGCAATTTCTAAACGTGACTAAACTCGTTATATGCAAGAAAAACAGCAATTTATATGTAATGCTTTTTAAACAGCATAGATTAATCGAATCAATCATTAATTCTGCAACCAAACTCAAAATAAAACAACACAATCTCAAAGAATTTTCATTGACGCAACTTCAGCTTAATTTCCCATCATTTGACTAAAGCTTTCAATGCCATATGCAGAATTATATTTATCGACATTGAAGAACAGTTAGCAGATTTATAATACCTGTGAAAGACATTGGCATTCAAATGCAGTGGACCTCGAGGGACATAATCAGGGTCATCTAATGATTCATTTTTATTTCGAGCTGCTCTTATCATCGCTCGAGCTCGCGCAAGACCAGCTTCAATTCTCTCTAAATTACTGTACTTTTTCCATAATCCAGTAGATGTCACGCTCTCTTCGTTCTCGATAACCTAGATGATTTCAAAACATAACATTATCATCATAGAAGAACAAAACATGCATCTTTAAGGTAATGCTCGAGGCCCATAAAACTCTCCCTCCCTGTGGCATAACCGGAGTCTTCTTATTTTCAAGACATACAGATACTAACAATGCTAAACTAATTCTGCAGTACTTGTATACTAGTGCTGCTGGAATCTGAACATACTGGGACGCCAATGTACATGAATATTTGGTTTCGGAAAGAAACTGGAGAAGTTTAAAATTTGGAGACTGAATTCAGCTAACCAGTTTTCCAGCACATAGAGCCTCTTCTCATTCTTTATTTTTGTTACCCCCAATCAAAAGTTGGACACCGAGGTGCAAAAGTTACAAAATTACAAATCCAAATTAAGAGGAACACTAACAAGCATACTTAGAATACTTAACCTGATCTTTTGGTAACTAATAGTTAGGGGTGGACATTTTTTCTCGAAACCAGTGGAATTGGACCGGAACCGGATAGAACCTGCCAGTTCAGCTTTGATTCATCTACTAAATGTTTCGATTTTGGGACCATGCATCTCGGTACTCTCTTGAGAAACAATGGTAAATTCGGTTATCCTGCATTTCTCTTTTTGCTGCACCAGATCTTTAAACACTAGACTTTAAAATTATCTCATATCAAAATTCAATTTTTCATTCGCTTTTTCTTCTTTCCTTTGCAACAAATCCTAATAGGAAAAAAAAATGTTTTTAGTTCAATATTTCATAAAAACTTAAATTTCTCATTGTTTTCAGAGTGATTGGCCATAAAAAATCAAGATTCTCAAGGATTACTAAAGATAATCGGATTATAAATACTACATGTATTTTTTAACATGTATTGTTGTATAAATTTTCTTAAGAAATAATTTTTGATCCAGATTTTACCGGTTGTGTTTAATAGCTTATCATTTTTTTTCCGTATTTACGAGTTGATCTTGGGCTTTTGAGTGGATTTCGTTTGTGCCTTGTATAATTGATTTTTTATATTGTTAAATTATAAAAATGATAAGTGATTTCAAGTAATTTCATACATTATTTCTACAATTTTCAATATAAAAAACCATAGCAAACCATAAAACAGTTAAAGCAAAAAGGTTTGTCAAATCAACTCATAATAATTGAGTCATTGACAAAGATTCAATATGTGCAATTGTGTATTATTAGACATGTAAATGTAAATAAATTAATAAAATTTTCAGAATAAAATTCGATGAGACGATTCACTGTGGTACTATGATTTGCAAAAATTGTATGAAATTTGAATTGAATTGAGCATGAATGTCAAATGAAGATTTATACATCCCCTATTGACTGTTGAAATTTTTCAGGGCGTAGTTCAATAACAAAAAAGCGAGGTTGCGTGGGCAATTGTGCGAAGAGTTAATGAAGGCCTTACCGGTTGTTGAGCTTCTAAGGCATGGCCTGCTGCCGGCAGCGAAAATTGTGGAGAAACAGAAACATTTCCAAATGAAATAGAAGCATCACTGGCGGCGGAAGGTGGCCATGAATGACTTGTAGAAGAGGACCAGAAGCCGTTAGAGGGCGTTTGGTCGAGTTTAACAACAAACCCAGAAGCCAAAATCAATGGCACTGCAACAAAATATACAAGCTTTGAAGAAGACGACACTGAATTCCACCATGCCAACACCTTATTCCTATAATCCATTTTTCAAGTCTGTCTGTATCTTGATTAAAAAACGTTGAGTCCCGTTTCAACTGGGGTTCGAGCGGGATCTACATGTAAGAATTTATTATGGAATATAAAGGAAGAGCTCAGCAGAATCTTGTCCACAGTGGTGAATGAAACCACAGTCCACGTGGCGATAGGTGAAATTAAATGACTGTCTACATGGTATCAATGTAGCATTAAACGATAGGTGAAATAAATCATTTAATTTCACATTTCATTTAACTTATCATTTAAAGATATATAGACATTGTTTTCATCCCCACGGGGATGAATAACATTACTCATTTTATAATTGGGTAAACCAGTTAGTCACGTTTCACTAAGCTTAAAAAGTCTCTTTACTAATAGTTAAGTTTCAACTAAAGTTTTTATTAAATGTATCCGCGAAACTTGATTTGTGAATAAAAAAATTATATTTAATTCAATAACATTATAAAAATAAATAAATAAACAAATGTGGTTTAGAAAGTAATCGTTTGGAGATTCGTATAATTATAAATATTTAAAATATAATTTTAAAAATGACGAACTTGTGAAAAAATATCAAAAATCAGGTGACTATATTTGTGACATGGTAAAATATTGTGACCCATAATTTAAAGTAAACAAGTCATAGTATTAGGTAATGCAAATTCTACAATCTCAGCCACATACCTCACAATTTATAGGTCACAATCATATCTTAAGCCACAAATCATACAATAAATATGTTAAAAATTTTAGTCACAAATTACACAATCAATTGGTCACTGTCGTTATTCTTCTTATCCACCTCACATTTTATATCTCATTCTTCACCTAGAGTATGTTTGATTCTTATTAATTGGGGAAAAAAATGAATTTTGAATAATATTTTTAGGAGAATGAGTCATAACATATTTTATTGTGTAAATATGTTGTTTGAAAATGAACATGCGACAAACTATAAAATAAATTAATGTGTATCAAACAAGCACTTAATTTTTCCTCCGCATCAGCGGCGTCAACCACCACGACATCATCCAATCTACTTCTCTAAGACTCTAAATATATCCATCTACTCAGCAAGGTCACCACCCGGTTCAATTTTGGCCACTAACCCACCACCGCCATCACCCAACCATAGTTGCTCATCATTTTCAGTCAAAACTAAAATTACAGCAAGTAAATACAGAAATTAATTCATTAAAAAACCCTCCATTTTCAATCATTGTTATCTTGTTGCAAATGATAATTATTTTTCCAATTTCGATGGAACCGTTGGGAGACAACTCCATCGTCGTCGCTGCCAAAGGTGTTGGTTCCGCCGCTCTTCCATTTCCTCATGGTTTGCACTTCTCTGAACGTGCACGTGGAGGGAGAGAACATCTATACTACACATGATTATATATTTTAATGGCGTGATCATATTAAGACAAACTAACATGTCAATCCAATACATAAATCTCTTCCAAAAGGTACACTTTGAACTCTAACTCGTTCTTCACCCGAGCATCACTTTTGACAAATGAATATATGATTTAGATAATCTCATGGAGGAGAACACAGATCTACTTTGATCTTCCAAAAACAAACAAATAGGTCCAACTCAAAATTATATCAAAAGAGCTCTTATATATAAGCCACTTTCCAACAGTAGATTCTTCTTATTCTAGACATGCATCACTTGACGCTAGAAACATGTGAAATGTATGCCTAATCCGACAATTCGCAAGAGTTACACATGAAAATTGATTACAACACTAACAACTAACCAGTACAAATTCCTACATTTTTAATTTTTTCCACTTACGAAAAGTGGTGTACTCCAGGCATTCAATATCAAGTGTATTAGTTCCTCATATTTCATTTGTATCACGAACTTGAATATTTAATCTTCTGAGCCAGATTGAATGAAGTATCATGTGGAAAACATCATATCTCTTGGGAGGGATATTAACCTCAAAGTGCCTCCTTACTAGAATACCTGCTTTCTGCATTTCTACGTATTGCTCTTGAGGTATGGCCGTCAAAATTTTCTTCAAGTTAGGGATATCTTTCACTGCAACATCAACTGAGAATGTACTCCAATCCAACACATCACCGAATGGTTTAGCATAATGGTCCTTAAGGAGTACCGGAACACATCCCGTATAAAGACCCTCAACCATTCTCGGGCTGGCTACTTCCCACCCGCTAGGGCAAATACAATACTTGCTCTTTCTAAACATGTCATAGTAGGACATGCTCTTCGGGAGGTACTCGTGTATCTGGACATTTGGATCCTTATTTTTCCATTCCTTCATAAGTATTTCCCGAATGTAGCCATGAATACCTCCGGAGTAGAAAACTAAAATCGAGCGCTCGGACGGAGGTGGTCCACCAATCAAGCCGTCCATATTACCACCAGGGAGATATATTTCTGGCAACGACACGTCTTTGGAGAGATTGAATCCTTCTGAGGTGTTCGCATTGCATAGAACTCGAATTGAGTTCTTGTACAGGTAAGATACAGCATGTGAAATTGTTGGAGCCTGTCAATTTTAACAATTAATTGGACGACAAAAAGACTGTCAACTTTCTAGTTGCTAGCTAAGAAAACAATGACATGATATGCACACATTAGTGCAATAGTTAAATGTTTAACTCCTGAAACATTTTGGACATAGAAAAGGGACAGAAATTTCTTACCCAATCGTGACAAGCAAGCATGAAATGATCGTGTCCAAGGCTTCGATTCCAGTAAGGGTACTTTCCAGCTATATGATTCACATAGTCTACGGCTACGTTTTGCAAAGGAGTCCATGCTCGGTTATGGCGCACATAAACATAGTGGGATATTGATAAAACACTGATTGGAAGGAAATAAACATGAGCCTTTTCTGGATTTTTGGTGCGAAATTTGCTGATCTCAATATGATTAATGAGAATACCCTCTATCCCTAGAATGCCCTCCATAGAACTGTAATGGAAAACAGGGGGTTCTCCATCCTCGTAGACATATATCTTAAACTTCTTCTCCATTTCCAAGTAGCTCCTGCAGTTCAGAATAGAACACTTGTGCTAGATAACTCAATAGAGAATGAACAACGTCCTCCATGATTTTGCCATATTTACCAGACCTCGTTTAATAGTTCGATTACATAATTCATGAAGAATCTGTCCTTTTATAACTTCACTTGCATTCTGTTCATAGAAATACGAACATTTAAAAAGAGTTAAGCAATTGCTGATACCTGTGGAAGGCACTGGGATTCAAATACATTGGACCTCGAGGGACATAATCAGGGTCGTCAAATGTTTCATTTTTATGTTGAGCTTCTTTTATTGTTGATCTGGAATGCGCAAGACCAGCCTCGAGCTGTTCTAAATTGCTGTACTTTTTCCCACCTGTATTGCCCTCTTCATTCTCCAATACCTGTTTAATTTTGAAACCAGAGGAGTGGTGATTAATCTGCATAATAATAGTCATTTTCCTAATTTTATGTACAATTCCCTGATATCCGGAGTAATTACGATGCAAATTGATATTGATGCACTACAAAAAGGTTAGTCTCTCTCGAATCTCAACATAATTGGAGAATTAAAGTCACGGACGAGAATCGAATTCCAGTGTCCTAACATCGAAACGGAAGAGCATGACACATAAGAACTGAACAAATTCATCCACATACAATCTAAAACCAACACTTAAGCCATAACAAATAGAAGCAAACAAAGCAAATACGCATATATAATACAGTCGTTCAATGGCAGTATTAGTTATATGTCCACTAATTTGCCCCAGGAACGCTGCTACAGCTTTTGAATATACCCAAAAACAAAAGTACCAGTTTCTTCCCGTTTCTCGCACACCAATACCGCTAATAAAAAAATATTTTTATCTATGCAGCATCAAATAAATGAGATCCCGGGCGTATGCATGTATAAACGTGAGAACGAAAACAATTAGCATGTCCTCACCGGTTGTTGTTCCACTACGGCTTCCGACCGGCCAGGAGGAAGATTCGCCGCCGCGGAAGACCTGTAATGGCTTGAATAAACGCCAGAAGAAGTCCAGAACCAATTAGAAGGCTTCTGGTTCACTATAACAACCAATCCAGACACCAAAATAAGTGGAACTACAACAAAATACACTAGCTTATTCTGCAATTCCATTTTCTTCGTCCTTTCCCGCAAAATTGTTGTGTATATATTTTTCTTCGAAAATTAAAAAAATGAATCAGTCGTTGTTTGGTACCGATTAAAATTTTCATTCTCATTCTTCTACTTATTTTTAACCACACATTCTTCAATAAATAATATTTTCCATCACATCAATAATTTTTCCTTCTTTTTCAACCACACATTCTCCATCAATCTACTATTCCAAAATACATTCTTCCAAAATAATGTGGCCCAAATACACCAATCTAAAAAAGTCATGTCAACTGTAAGTACTTGTTAAAAAGTTAATCCAATTGGATCCCAAACAAAGCGCTAGGTGTCTTTCTTTCAATTTTGGTTAAAAACAATAATCCAATAATGTTTATTATTAACTTACAAGTAACCTTAAGCCACGTACATTAGGAAAGTAATTGTTTTGATCGGACACTTAATTTTTTCTTACGCCATTGACTTATTATCAAATAAATGAAGAAATCGTTTCATTGAAAGAAACAATAAAATCAATCGGCATGACGTTCAAGGCCCGTAGTTGAGTGAAGCCTCCCGGAAGACCTGCAAGTCTTGTGCATGCTCTAGTCTTTAACAATAATTCATTTAGCTGTAACGGGTGGGGACAGTTTGTGAGGATTTTTATTTTATTTTTTTAGTAGAAGAGTTTTTGAATAAGATATTTTTAAGTCAGCTTCTTTTAAAAGTGTTCAAAAAATAAGTTCTTAGAATTTGTCTGGCCACGATTTTTTCCTGCTTTTGATCAGTTTTTGGACCGTTAGGTGGGGCCCAGCCTCTCACAAGAAATCAACAACTGCGGCTCAACGGGTGGAAATCTGATTAAAATCTTCCAAAAAAGTTTTGCCAGACAAGTTCTTAATCTATAATCAAACCTTTTTTACTTTCGAAAATATTGTCAAACATGCCCTAAACATGTTATAGAATTGAAAATTAGATTATTATTATTATTTTTTTTTGTCCTTGCAAAGTTCTCACAATTTATCTTTATTTAAATTAACGAACAATTCACTACTTCAATGTCTTAAAATAATTTTCTCACCATAATAAACAAAAAATAATAATTCTATGCTGAGATACTTTACTAAAGTATGAATTACTATAAAGTTACGGTGTCTTTAGAAATAAAAACCTATAATTTGTATTGTTAAAATTACGATGAACCAACTATTCATTATATCACAACGTATAATTATTTGCCATACTGGAAATGAGTAAGAAAATGGAGGCTCTGGAAGGATTCAATGTTGCTCATATTTTACAGAGATGCTTATTTGTAAATGTGATCATTAAGGCTTGTCAATTATTACTTTGTATTATGATCATTGGAACAATACCTATCATGAGGATGATCTAAAATCATATCGATATTTCATTCGAGAATTACAAGACCTCACGTTAAGCTTAGAATACTCGTCATTATAAGAATGAGTATATAGAAATTGTGGAATTAACAACCTCCTTTTATGAATTATAAAAATCTTTGATTTCAATGCTACATGTGTAATGAGCAAAACACAACGTGGGTGGATAACATGAAGCACGATGCTGTGTTGAAGCATATGATATGAGTATCAGAACAATAAGGTTTCTTTTGAGCATGATGAACCTTATGAGCACAACATGCACTAATGCTCGATCCCTTAAAAGTGCACTAGTAGTAGTCTATATTTCTAGATTAATGCATACAATAGACATGCCAAATGCATCTCGATATACAACGTGATTAATACTACCTCAAATTAGGAATGTTAATGTGGCTCGTCGAATCGGGCTGCCCGTGGCTCAGTCCAGAAAAGACTGAGTCAAGCTAGATTGTGGCTCGGGCCGAGCCCCATTTTGGGGCGTCGCTCCGGCCCGTGTGGCTTGACGAGCTATACGGGCCAGCCCGTGTCATGGACCATTTTCGACATTTGACGAGCAGAGCCAAGGTTTTTTTTTTAAAGGTTTCAAAAAATAATAAATAATTACAGTTGTCACGAATCAAAAAAATTGAGCCGAATCGGCACAAGCCCGGCTCAGCTCGGCTTGTAAAGGCCCGAGCCGAAAGCTCGAGTCGAATCTAAATTTTTAAACCGAGTAAAAGTTCGGCTCGACTCAGACATAAAAAATTTCGAACCATTTTTACTCGAGTCGAGCTCGAGACTCGACTCGTTGACACCCCTATCTCAAATGTACATAATATTGTATGTGCTTTCTTCTATCGTACCAATCCAAATGATTTACACACAACATTGTGCGTGATTATCATAATAAATTTTGTCGACTTAGATAGTATAACTTATAAATTGTACTTTAATTTAACTAATTCAAACATATCAAACACATAGCCATATCCCACCATTGCATCAAGTCACATTATTCATAAATGATAAACCAGTTCGGCTACTTAATTTTGGTAACCTCCTAATACAAGTTGCATGACACAATTAAATAGCATCATTGGATTTGCTCTAGCTACAATGAAGAAATTTCAAAGAAACCCTGAAAATAATCAAGAAAGTAGAATCACGTTAGTCTATTATGCTATATAAACCGAAAGTATAAAATTCTTTCAGTACCCATACTTTCATTTGTATCAAATATGTCATCAAATTTCAAACTTTGTTACCTTCTATATCAGATTTCCCAGTTGACAAAATTAAAGATTGATATGTACGTGCATTGATAGTGTTAAGTCTTGAATCCCAATTTATGATTCGTATTAGAGTTCAGATCTATTGTTTCAAGTTTCATGTTCGTGTAGATGACCCAACAATAAAAATTAAATAAATCCCTCTAATTTTCCACATCATAAATTTTTAAGAGAAATTCGAATAATGTTAGGGTCCGTTTGTCATAGTTTTTGAAAAGTTAAAAACTGCTTCTAAGACTAAGAAGTTATTTTTTAACTTGTTTGGATAATTTTCTAATAATGCTTTGTTTGGTCATAAGAACTTTTAGGGTGCGTTAGATTGCAAGTATGGAAAATGAGTGGAAAGAAAATGTTTTATAGGGAAAAGATTTGCCTTGAAAATATTTTGCAGGGAAAATGATTTTAGTGTGTTTGATTGGTATAATTTTTCACC